CCTTTTATGAAAGGGGAGGCGCCAAATGATTACATTTGAGGGAGGCGTAATAACTTCAAGTTTGGAAACCACTGATTTAAAAACTTTAAGGTATTGCAGCAAATTGAAAAAAATAGTTAAATAAATGGTTATATTCATATATATTTAAAAAAAATAATTTGCTGTTTTAAAGAATAATTCTTTCGCTTTCTTTTGCTATAAAATATGTTAATTTTGGTCAATTAATAAGAAAGTTATTAAGCTTTAATGCGTTGGCGGTTTTTGCGAATCAAAACCCAAGTCCCCCCCTGAAAATGATTCTCGATAATGCCAGAAAATTGGGATTTGTACTAGGAGACTATGAGTAGCGATGAGTTATCTGAGCTCCTAGCATCGGTCGTTCCTGATTGGTTGTAATTTGAAATTTTGAAATTCACGTTTTTGTGTCCCAAGTTAAATTTAAAGTAGTAAGTAAGTAGTCAACAATCATCGATTCAATTGTTAATATTTTAGCTGGAGCTGACCTTAAGTTCCACAGAAAGTGGAAAGTATTCTTTACTAGCAGTTTTCATTTTCAAATATCTTAACTGTTGAATGTAACCAAAAATATTACTTCATTAAGCAGTTGGATAACAACTATAAACCCTGTAGTAACCATGATTCTATTGTTGCTTTCCAGAAAGAGAATAAAAGTATTTTATATAACTGTCAATCTATATTTTCACTTATTTTAATCTCTGTATATTTTAGATCAACATTCATGTTCAACATTCTTCTAGAAGCAAGTGTTTAGGAAAATACAGACCATTTTCGAAAACGTTGTAATAACAAAGTTTGATAATTAATTGTGACGAAACTATGGTAGTTAGAAAAATGTATTTACACTCATTTTAATCTCTCTATATTCAAGATCAACACTAATGTACAAAACTCTTCTGAGATTTGGTGTATACGAAAATACATTCCATTTTCGAAGACGTTATTTTCCTAACTCATTTGTAAAATACCAAAGTTTGTTAAGCAATTATGAATACACCGATGCAGCTATAAACTAATAATTACTTTAATTTTGATCTGTGTATATTCAAGATTAACATCCATATATAACATTCTTCTGGGAGCTCATGTTTACGAAAGTACAGGCCATTATCTAAGACTTTATTTTCCTACTTGTTCATCAAAGTTTATATGTATGTTTGGTTGCAGATTATAAATTAGACGCATAAAACTCGAAAATTAATTAGCATTTAAATTATTATACTGAAGTAATAACATAAGATTCATTATATTCTGATATGTTTGTTTATTAAAATTAGAATGTTTATAAGGAAGTGGATTTTGTGCAGCGCTAAAATGCCTGAACTACAACCTTTGAAGCATTGCTAACAGATGGCGCCAGCTGTCACAAAAAATAGAAAATATATTTTGCGCCTAAAGTACAGGCAACTAAACATACATATAAACTTAGAATAAAAAGTAGAATATCGTCTTAGATAATGAACTATATTTTCATGAAAACTCACTCCCAGATGAATTATGAAAATAAATATTGATCTAGAATATACAGAGATTAAAATGAGTATAAATACATGTGTGCTACTGTCGCAAGTTAATTTTAAAGGTCTATTGGATTTCCTGATTATTTTACATTATTCTGAATGCAAAGATAATGAACAACATTACATTATGTTATGAAAATGTTTGGACTCTTGCAATTAACAATATACTTTAAAAAAACGCTCTAAAAATCAGTGTAAACAAATCTTTGAAAGCTAATTTTCTTCTATCGAAAATACTAAAAGATGTAATTTATCATTTATAATAAAAAAAATGTTTAATACAAATAAAAACAATATTTATAATATAAAATTATAAAAAGTATACATATTGGAATGACGATCTACACGTCTGGAATTTTACATTGATGACAGTTTTCCATGGCTTCTTGGAACTCCTCGATTTGAAGAGTTAATTCGAAGAAATTGTATTTCTCGTGTATGTTCTTTGTAGCTGCCATTAGTACTCCTTGAGGATTCGTTCCTGGAACTGATATAAGCTTTAGTAGAACCGTTGTTTCTGTGTTTTTTTCGAATACTACCAATGGCTAGGTGAGCGCACAGAGCCGTTTTGTCCAGGCTGAGCGCCCAAATCCTCAAGTTGTGAACGCGCTTGACCCCTTCAATCTGCAAGAAAATGCCCATGACATCATTGAAATCGATCCCCTTTGGCATTCCCTCCATGAGAACTAGCAGCGTGTCTTTAATAATGTTAAACGTCGTTATTAACACCAATACGGAGAAGACGAACGTGCAGATTGGATCCACGATATTCAATTCCGGCTGCGACATGAATACTTATTAATACATAGTTTTTTGGGCAAAACCTCGATTAGTACGATGTTGAGTTATAGTTTGGAATTACTTAAATGGATCCGTACTAATCAAGGGTGTTCTGTAATTGAAAATTACTTTAAAATAGATGACCAAAGCGGCAACGAAAACGCCGAAGCTCTGTATGAAGTCACCAATAACGTGGATGTAGGCGGCTCTAACGTTAATATTATCGGTATGGCTGTGGTTGTGACTGCTGCCTCCATGGCTATGGCCATGCTGATGCAGAGTTAAACCCATTCTGTGCAATAAGAAACAATGCGTGAGAACGAAGCATGAATGCGTTGCGTGAGAAGCGTTTTTGTATTACATTAAGTTCACGCCGACCCCAATAGCGGAAGTGACCAGCATAACAAAAGAATCAATTTCAAAGTCCCTATCGATGACCCTTTGAATGGCTAGGTAGACCAGAATTCCGGTGACAACCCATATCATAAGCACGGACGTTAGGGCGCCGATGACTTCCGCTCTGTACCACCCGAAAGACATCTTCTTCGTAGCAGGCCTGGTAGCCATCCAAAGCGAAAACAGCGAGATCATGAAGCTGGCGAAATCCGTTAGCAGATGGGCGGCATCCGTGGCGATCGCCAAGCTGCTCGAGAAATACCCTCCTAAAAATAATAAATTTTGGAGATTTAGGTCAACGGCTATTTAAAACTATTTTTTAGTTTATATACCTATGACCTCTCCTATCATGAAAATGACGCAGAGCACGCTAGCAATGATCAGCTTCCTTTTGGCTCGCTTATCGATATCTTCCGATCGGGACTTGTGGCAATGCTTGTTTACTGTAAAATCAGTTTTCTGAAATAGTAATCGTGAAGTGCGTGGAATCGTAGAGTTTGTTTACTAAGATTGGTGGTGTCGCAGTTCTCCTTTGTGTGAGAGGAGAGATCAACATCTTTGGTGGATTCCATATCAATGATCTCGCCTTCTAGCACCCTGCAGCATCCTGCGTTGGGCTTCCCGTGGACGCAGTATATCATCATCCTGGGCGAAGCCGTCGAAGGGCTGGAGAGGCTGTTTGTTCTACCAAAGGCTCCATAGTTGTTGTTACCGTTAACACTATAAAAGACGACATTCAACTTGAATCTGTTCGATTCTCGAGACGCGATAAGATATCGGGGCACGCAGCGCGCTTCTTTCCTTACTAGATTACAAGAGTAAAATAAAATTACTTACAAAATCGGCGAAAACTTTTCTCCGTTCTGCATATTGTATGTAAATCCTTGGATGCACGGAAAAGGAAAATGGAATATCTTCTGGAAGCACAAACAAACTAAACTAAATAACGTTCTTCGTCAATCTGAGTCGAAAATAATAAATATTATTTAGGTAAAGTGGCACAGACTCGTTAGATAGTCATTGATAGTGCACCCGACCCCAACATCGTTGTACATAATACTTTATCTTATTCAGACTTTTCACTTATTTCGGAATTCCAAATAAGTGTAATCATTCGATGCGATAATAACGCAGCGTACTTCTTTGTTTGCTCAATAATGTTTCCACTCCAAGAGGCACGTTTCAATCGGAGTTATTTCAATTGGCGATGACCAACCAATGGAAGTGGCAAAGAAACACATCTTATCAGAGCTGATAATGTTTTTTTTTAAATGTTCATAAAAGTGCGCTCTTTTTGAAATTGCCGCTCTTCTTATTGGTGGGGGCGTGAGTGGGGTACTGAAGAGAGGAACAGGTTGACCAACGTGGGAAACTGAAAACAAATTAGTCAGGTTCGGTTAATGTTATCAAACATGTTCGGTGTGGAATTCGGTTTTTTGTAAACATTCGGGAGAGAGTCGAGAAAGGATGGTGGTGAAATGGGATCGGCGTTGAAGAAGCTTTAACCTGGGCAATCAGCACTTGGGTGTCATGGGATTTTGCACGAGAAGATACTTTCTTCTCTCTATCTGTTTGCTGCAATTGGTGAGTGAACAAGTGTGACCAATTAAGAACGTTCAAATTACACCTTCCCCCCCATTGTTTTGCAGATTTCGCTCTTCCAGAGACAAGTCTTTGAATTCTTGGGTTTCCTGTGGATTCCCATATTTCTTAACTTCTTTGACATCATCTTTGTCATATTTGGCTTCTTTGGCGCCTACCAGTACAGGCCCAAGTATATCATCTCGGTGAGTCACAACCAATCCAATCAGACTCACTATATAACCAGGATGAATCTGTGTTTCAGTATGCTGTGTGGCATTTGCTGTGGCTCGGATGGAACGTTTTCATCATTTGCTTATATTTAGATATTGGATTGCTCAACCACAAGGTAATACATCTTACATGATCCCTCTATTTTTAGTTTTCTTTTATTGCAGCAATATAAAAAAAAACTTTGTTTTTCAGGAAAGTGTTGTGCTAAAATTGGATTCAGCCAGTGAGAGCTGGTGGATTAAAAATGGACCTGGGTGCAAAGGGGTGCTGAATACAACATATGGAGTACCTGTTGTGGAAAATGTTACCAATTGTTTAGTGGATTATCGCTATGTTGAGATCTTCCAAGCAGGATTGCAATGTGTTTTAGCTGTAAGTTGTTACATATAATTAACATAACAAACACTATAATATTTTGTTTTTAGTTTCTTGGGACTGTAATAGGTTGTTGCTTAAGTAAAATCTTTCTTGAAGAGGATGATAGTTGTAAGTATATCTTGTAGAAGTTACTCATGACAACAATCAGAAAACAAGAAAAAAAAAACATTAATATAAAAATCAAACTGTTGTAAAGCTTGCTACTAATTTTGGTAGATAACATTTAGGAGTATAAATAGCTATAAAATTAATATCCTTACAGTTGATTTCATTGGTGGATTTGATTCACAAACGGTTTGGTAAGTTGAGGGAAATTAAGGATAATATATACATATATGCCTGATGCATTTTTCTAGATTATTTTGCAAGAACCTTTGTAGTGTTGTAGAATCTTAGTTCGATTTTATTTTTCAGTTAATTACTTGGGTGGAGCTGGTAAAGGTCCCCAGCATTTAGCATTACAACCAATGTATGTGGATGTTGATCGTATGATACTAAACGCATATAACGAAATGCCTAAATCTGACTGCACAACTGTGGGGTCTCTTATGAAATCCGCACATAAAAGTCACACGACAGATGTTGACCCGATCAGACCTGGCCTTACCTTTTGCACGTTTGGCTCGAACAAGCGACCCCAGCACCTAAACATAACGAATGTGACTTCCCTCTAAGCTTTCACACAAATATTGTATATCTGTATACATACATATATAATAATTTAACGAATGCTCACTTATACGCTTAATAAACCTATTTATTTTGGATGTGGTACGCAATAATAATAACAAGCATGTTCAATTTTACTATACGTTTATTTATAATAAAACGATTGAACTCTAATGGTTTTCCTTTCTCATCTTGGAATATTTTTCTCCAGCATCACGTAAATCGAGAAAGAAGCCGAAACGAATGTCTCTTTATTCAATAGAGTTCAGTCCGCAAAGGGAGAGACAGGGGGATAGCGACAGTAATGATTACGACAATGAGAATCTGCCGCAGCCGGTCTCGCCGAAACCTATGACACCTAGGCGGGTGAAGCGTAGGAGCGTCATGCAAAGGGGTTCTTCTGGGAGACACAGCACCAGCAGCAGGAGGCACAACAACAGATCTTCCACCAGGAGTTCCAGACGGGCAGTCCAGAATCCGGTGACACGCTTGATGGAACAACAGCAGAAGATCCAGCAGCAACAACAGCAGCAGCAGCACTACGATAGTCCTGCGAGTCCTGTTGAACCCCAGACCTTTTTCAGTAGTGCCTCCAACAACAATCTAATGGTTCCTCCGCAGAGCTGGCAGAGTAACGGCCACACGAATCCCACGTATCAGCAGTCATCGACGCAGTCGCTGAACGAGCACGATGACTTCGATGAGCTCTACAATAATCGACCTGCGTCCGTTAGGTCCAGTTATTCCAACTTCCACGGGACCAGGGCTATCAATTACGCCCAGCAGCATTACCATAGTCATGCGACGCCCCAGGTTCCGCAGAAGAGGCTTGCCAACCCCGGCAGACAAAGTATGCGCTCCATGGCTTTCCTTAACAATGGTCCACCAGCCTATAGCTCTCAAGGCCAATTAGGTTTAGATTCCGAAACCACGATATAGGAGGCCGATTTCCCCGCGACTTGAGTGTCGTCGGTCTCTCTTAATATATTTTTGTACTTCATTCACGTATAGGTATGACTCGTGTGAATTATCATTTACTGTACTGTGCAAGGATATCGCGATCCACTCAAATAAAATTGTTGCCCGGGCGACAATACTTAAAAAAAAAGTTATATAGGGTGATTCACAAAACTAGAAAAACAAACATGGATGTGGGAGAAACCATTATATTATTGTATATTCAGTCACATAACTATGTTCTCTGTTTGCAAAAACCAACAAAGAACATGATTATATATAAATAATATACATGTGAAAGAGGTCCAAATTACCTAAAGAAGTGAGTTCATTTAATTTTTGTTGCGCAAATCGACAATCATATATTTACATTGCACAATAATTCTAATTTTAGATAACCAACTACTTATAACTTTTTTTAAAAAGGGATTTATATCAATTTATTTATTAATATAAATCTTTCCGGCCCTATTTCTACCCCTTTCGGGTTTAACAGCCACCACAATTTTTTGTTGATGAACCAACGACCTTTCGTATCAGATTTTCGTGATACAGGCGACCATAGCCACACTACTTTTAACTTATTATCATCTTAAACGCAACGTGATACTTTCGTTGCCTACCTCTAAAATGTTATTAACAAATTTACTGAATCTCATTATTTTCTAGTATACTTACTCTTCCAGAAAACTTAAATTCAAAGTGAATTGATTTGTACTATCTTCCTGAAAAATATTGAAGACAGCTAATTTCAATTGGAATTTTAATATAATTTTCCGATCGTTGCTCAATGAAATGAACTCTTATGATAAATAGTTGAATCACCCTGTATACATGCACATTTCGTTTAAAAATATTCTTACTCAAATCTAATAAATCCAAACTTCAAAGGTTGCCTTATTGGAACCACAAACACTTACTAATCAGTGCAATTAATAAAATTGGATAAAAATAGTAATACATGAGTAATGAGCATATATTTGTGATATTTATAACTAGGTTTTAAGGTAACACCCATATCATGTAATCGTAATATATTTATACATGTATATCTTTTGTAAGGGACTCTTTCTGTTTTGATGTTTGTTTGTTTGTTTTTTTAACTGAAAACTACGAACGTGTTCTGCACGGATCAGAACATTATACAACATTTGTACATAGCCGTTCCACAATATGTGCACTGGACGTTATTTATTTATTACACTCCATTGTTCCTCGGATTATTTGCACGGGGAACTTACGTACAAGAGACAAGGATAATCATTTGAATAGTAGCTAATAAGTTTTACTATTCTGAAGCAGTTTTAATTACTTCGATGTTAAGTATTTTAAGGATCGCTTTTATCAAATAAATTCGTCTGTAAGTGTTTACGATTCATTTTTAACGACCAAAGTATTATTTAGTTCTGTAATGTTTTATTTTTTAATTATTATTTCTGTTTAATTTAATTTTTATGTTTATTTAATGTATACAGGGTGTATCCGAATTGCGTAGCCAAATTTTTTGGGGATTTTGTATATTGCTCAAAACGATAAGAAAATATGAAGCAAAACGATGTTTGTATCAAGCCGAAATCAACACTTTTGTTTGTTTATTTTAAAATAAAAGTGCTGCACAAATGAATGTTTATTTTTTTTACCTTCATCCAACAGTCATATACTTTATTCATAATACCGATCCGAAAGACGTTTCTAGTTCAAACAAACATTAATAACCACTAAACAGTTTTTCATTAAACGAGTCAATATTTTGTCTCCGGGCACAAGAAAGGAACTGTGTTTCGTAACAGGTTAAAAATATGCAATGCATTTTATTATGTTTAAAATTAACATTAGGCCATAACCACTTTGAAACGACTAATTGTAATAAACATCATACAAATATTTTTACTAAGTTAAAAGAATTGCATTTGTTATTGAACTTGTCTGAAAGTCGCGGTATTTTCATCTTCGGTTTAACGTTGAATCGAATTTCAATGGAAACCGTAAACGATGCAATCAGCGTATCCTTCGATATCTATATTTAAAAAATCCTGGCATAAAGACAGGAAAATCTAAAAATCCTTCAATACCAAAATACATCTAAATTTAGACGTGCAGAGAATAGCAGCAACTAGACACACAGTAATTAATAATTTATGTAATTTATTATATCACAATTCATATGATCATGTAATTAAATAAGAATAAACTTTATAATAAATTAATGGATTATACACTTTGATCATAGCTCAACGCAGTGATAATTAACGAGATTATACTGTAAATTTGAATGTAGATTTTATAGTCAATAGTCGATAAGCATAAATAACATTGAAATGAATAACACAAATATTTCTTTTTCGGTAATTACTCATTACAAAATATGTTTATACTTTCCGATACTTCACTCGAGGCTATCATGTAATGTAATTGAAATGTTTATCAATAAGACTATCATCTTGATTCGTATATTAAGTGAAAGATTTTAATAACTTTGTATATTGAAATTTTACTCAATTACTTTAATAACAGAATATAGAGCCTTTTATTTTAATACTGTAATATATAATTATGTAAAATATAATATAATGTTATAATTACCATGTAAATCAATAAATTTCAACTAATATTATTTCGGTTGTTTCTGGACTATCTTCAGAATGGTTAGGGCTTTGAAACTATTGATTTTTGAATGCCTAACCCTAATACTCCGCTTAGCGGAATTAAAAGACTTGTAAAGATAAACAATGGGAATACTCTAAATTTATACAACCTTGCATTAAGAACCAAATATCCTTCAATATTATAATTGAGCTAAATTTAGATGCATATTATTAAAACATATTCAGTTCAATTTAGAATCCAAATATGTAAAAGTTGTTTGCCAAATGCATCATAAATCTTGCTATTTATTTATTAAAGAATGCGCGATGAATTAAAAAATGCATTACAGATACACGTATTGTAGGTAATGAAGATGTTGTACTACGTTGTGTATTGATGTTGCTAGGTCTGGGCAATAAGCAAGAAACTTCCTGGATAACTTTCGATTAGCACATAGATAATAATTGACATTGATAACAAATTTATTATTTATTAATTTACAGTTTGCGCTATTGGATCAATTTAGAAATATGTTAGGTAATCTAAAGCGATCGTCGCGAGTCGCGTCATCTGTAATTATTTAGCGATTATGATGATATTTATTTTGTCCCTCATCCCTACCAAATATCTATATATGAAAGTGTGTGAGTGTATATATATAAAAAGTATCTGTATATACGTAATGTAAGTGTATGAATAAGAAAAAATCGCGATGCGCGCGCGCTCGCGCGATTCACGCGCTCCTCGGCGATAGCTTTTCCGCATATAGATCCCTGTGTATTTTCAGAGTCGTCGCATTACGAAAGACCTAAACATCGATTCGCAAACAATATGAAACGAATTCTCTCCAACTACTTATACAGAAGTGACTTCAAGCAATTGGGTTTCAGCAAATTAGTGCCCTCCGTCCAGACATCTTCCCTGCATACGATACAAAATAAAGTGAGGTTTTCTGTGATAATATCGATGAAATAAGTACTTAACTTTCCGATTGTTTTCCAGGATGACTTCAAACAGTTGCCAAAGCACAGGACACCAAGGTAAAAAACAATATGAAATTAATAGCTCATACTTCAATTAATCCCATCGTCCTCGCTTCACCAAAAATGAATGATTTTTTATTTTTTTCGTTATCTGCTTATATTTTACGTTCGAAATTGTTATTTATTATTTTCAGACGGCGGTTCTCTTTTATCCACGATCCATATTATTCGTAAGTAATTCCATCCATCCCTCCAAGAAATACTCGTTTCTTTTATATTTTAATACTTTGACCCGTCTTTCCTTTGTGCGTAAGTTTCACCCCCCTAAACCGTTGTGCACTGACCTTTCTAGATCGTCCGAGCAAGAGCAGCCCGAGGACACGCTCTTCGAGATGTTCAAGAACAAGGACTCGGGCTTACTCTCAATGGGCAAGTTCCTCGCGGTAAGTGTTATATAACAACAAAGTGGAGCGCGTCGAAGCTATCCTATGTTTTTTGAAGGCGCTTCGCAGCACCGGTCTCCGCAAAAATGATCCCCGACTTAAGGAGATGATGGAGAACTTGAAAAAGGTGCAGAAGAGTACGAACGCGGAAGGCGCTTCCATCGACACGCAGAAACTAGACTTAGACACATTCCGCAGCATCGTCTCCCAGAATATCGGCATCATATCGCGCGCCTTTCGCCACCAATTTATTATACCGGAGTTCCAGAGCTTTAGCAAAGAGATCGAAGAGATCTATTGGAAGTGCAAGGACAATACTGACGGCAAAGTGAGTGAAATCCCTTAAACCCAAAGACAGTACCCTATTTACAATCCCGCTTTCAGGTGGCCTCGTATATTCCTCAATTAGCTAGGATGAGTCCGAATTATTGGGGTGTTAGTATATGCACCATTGATGGCCAGAAGTTCTCAATTGGTGACGTAAATGTGCCTTTTACACTTCAATCTTGTAGCAAACCACTAACTTATGCCATAGCTTTAGATCAATTGGGAGCGGACGCTGTCCATGCCTACGTTGGGCAAGAGCCCAGCGGCAGGAATTTTAATGAACTTATTTTAGATCACAACAGTAATATAAAAATCCATAACCACCGCTTGGAAATCTTAACTAATATATGTTTTGTTTTTAGAAAAACCGCATAATCCTATGATTAATGCCGGTGCTATCTTGGTGTGCGCTTTATTGAAGACTTTAGTGAAACCTGAAATGACCCTAGCCGAAAAATTCGATTTTACAATGAAAAATTTCGAGGTATTTATGACCCCCAAATGTTTTTATCCAATAATCTAATTTAATGTTTTGCGTAGAGATTGGCTGGTGGCGAGGATTTCGGGTTTAATAACGCTGTGTTCCTATCGGAACGTGAAGCGGCTGATAGGAACTACGCGCTGGGTTTTTACATGCGTGAACACAAATGTTTCCCGCTAAAGACGAGTTTCAGGGAATGTATGGATTTCTACTTCCAGGTAAATATTGATCGTCATCGTATCCTTGGGGTTACTAAACTATTGATTTATTTTACAGTGCTGCTCAATGGAAGCGAACTGTGATACCGTAGCTGTTATGGCAGCTACTCTTGCGAACGCTGGTATATGTCCTCTGACCGAAGAGAAGGTTCTTGGACCGGAAAGTGTTAGGGACGTGTTATCTTTGATGCACAGCTGCGGAATGTACGACTATTCTGGCCAGTTTGCCTTCAAAGTAATATGATTTAGTGATAGTCAATTAAGTTAACCGATAAATTAACGCTCGTTGTTTACAGGTTGGCCTTCCGGCAAAATCCGGAGTTTGCGGAGGTATGTTGGTGGTAATACCAAACGTGATGGGGATCTGCACTTGGTCCCCAGGTTTGGACAATCTCGGTAACAGTTGCCGAGGAGTCCAGTTTTGCGAGGAATTGGTGAAGAAGTTCAATTTCCACAGGTACGATAACTTGACGCACGCAAGCAACAAAACAGATCCAAGAAGGCACAAGTTCGAGACGAAAGGTTTAAATATTGTCAATCTGCTGTTCTGTGCAGCCAGCGGAGATATCACAGCATTGAGAAGGTAATAACACTGTTGCATCATCGTGATTGCTCTTATAAGATAATCAATAATCCAATTTCTGTTTCAGACATAAATTGTCGGGCATGGACATGACGTTATCGGATTACGACGGTCGCACTGCCCTTCACTTGGCTGCAGCTGAAGGGCACGTGGAAAGCGTGGAATTCTTATTGAGCTATTGTCAAGTTCCTTACAACGTGAAAGACAGATGGGGAAACACTCCGCTCGAGGAAGCCACCGCTTTTGGACACACCAAAGTGATCACTCTTCTGCAGCAGTGGGCTGAGACTCAACACAAGGAGGCTCCGACCGTGGAGGAACAAGGCGACACGAGCACCCCAATCCCACCTCACGCAGCTTAACTTATCCCAAAATAAATAAACCGTAATCAAAAACAAAAAATAACGAAAAATTCTAAAAGACAAACCTATCTTCCAGTCATCCAGGTTTATCGAACAGTATTAAATTTATCCCAACCCAAATGCTATTATATATATATATAATAAAATATAGTTATATCTTTTAGTAACGTTGATGTTGTAACTAAAAATGCAGTTAGCTAGAGCATTCTGAGAGTTGATGTAATGATTGATGAGGACAATAAAAATAATTTTAAAGTTTCAAGTTCAAGGTCGAGATGTAGCCTTCTGTGCATGTTTTTCGATCGTTACGAAATACAGCATTTCGAGTAGGTCCAAAGTAATCGTTTGTCGTGCACACCTCGTAAACTTTAATCGTCAGATAAGGTGCATTGTATTCTCAAATTGGACATTCTAGATACCGGTGTCCAGATGATGTTTTCGCGTGTCGCGCTCGTATTCTTCTTACATTGTTGTTTTTTTGCTGATGTAGAATTCACCTTGCGTAAGTCCCGAATTTTTTTTGGTGAATAGTAATACGACTGAGAAAAACAAATAGATTTGTCCTTGCAGAGGAAACTTCCATTCGGCGATTAGATAAGCCGTATGTGCACGGTTCAGTCTATATTCAAGGTGCAAACGAAATCGTCCCGATAAGGTTTGGAACCCCATTCGTTATCAATGGCACAGCCAAAGTCTATTGCAGGATTAGATTCTGTGACGTTCATCATAAATGTTCACTTTAATCATCGCAGCATCATCATCATCATTAGTGCTGCACCAACACGCGCTGATAAATAATGCATGCTGAATAATGCACGCCGCATTATGCAACGTGAAATTATTAATAATGGATGGAGCATGGAATAAATGGTGATCCTATCCCGGCGGATCCGCAGATTAATCCTCGATTCGCCAGTTTATTTCCTGATGGTGTTTGCATACATTATACTCCTGTGTCAACCGGAAACTCGAGAGGAAAAAGCTCGAATCACCATATTAGTTTATGTTTTAGAAATAAAATTATGCAATTCCTAAAATAATAAATTTTCAAATAGTATCAAAACTAAATAAACAACTTCATGAAATTTATTATTAACTAAAAATTTACAAAATATATTTTAATGGCAATTTTTGGAAAAATATAACAATCTAAAATTTGCAAAATAATTATTAAATAATTATTAGTTTATTCACAATCCTTCTGTTAATTATAAAATATTATATAGAAAAAAAACTTTTTCTAATGAAATAATTAAAATGTAATGGTTTTGCTATATTGTGGTTATTTGGTTTATATATCGTGTAAATCTACACACTCATTGAAATCAACTAAAGGCGTTTTCGAGCTTCTAATTACAATTACAAATATGCGCGGTATTATTTGATGAGTCGCTTTACGTCTGCAAAAATTTGTGAGTAGTTTCATAACAGTAACAATTGTTGTTTGTTAATGATGAGCTGTACAAAAATAATCTTCTGACTCACATATTCGGTATAATATCACGGTGAGTTTATGTCTATTTGCTAAATGACTAAAACAACTGATAATAAAACAATGGTCTTGTGCAAATGAATATTAAAAGATATTTTTCATCCATTCTTCAAGAATCACGTTTGATACATTTAGACAATTTTACGATTAAACGTATTTCCGATTTAAAAAAAAAGAAACATACAATCAATGTGAATAAAAACACAAGGTTACAAATAAAGCTATAAAAAACAAACAGCTGTGATTCTTATGGTGGAGTATCGATATTATTGTTACATATTTGAATTATATATTTATGTGCATAATATGAAATATGTAATGTATACAAATTACTATGCAATGTATTATACATAGAGTAGTATACAATTGATGCTGATAGTTCAGATATGTAACATGATTATATCTCATTCTACTCATAGTGTGGACGCAGCATTAACCACACAAATGTTAACACATATCGACGAACGTGATAGAATTTAGTTTATTTAACGTAATTTTATACTAACGTATTCATAATCTTTAAAACATGAATGATAAAGAAAATATAGTCATGAATAATATTTTGCCAATCATGTTAAAATTTCAGTATTACTAGATTTACTGTTCTGTTCTTATTCCACCATTCTATAATAGATCACACACCTTACGGTGTCAATGTTTTATTAAGCATAAAAAAGTAAATAAATACATAGTAAAACAAGCGAACAATGCATATAAACAAACAAATTAAAAATACATTAATAAAAAAGTGAATGGACCATTAAAAACGTCTATAGACAATTACACGCAGTCAACCTGATAATTTGTAAATAAACAAGAAATTTATGACAAAAAAAAATAATTCAACATTTATATAAACTTTTCACGAGCAGGGACCTATCAGCTCTTATCACAGTGTAGTGTAGACCTCGGATAGTTAAATAAAAAGTGTTAAAAAGATTGTTAAGGGGTAACAAAGCATTAATATGAAACAACAGAATAAACACATTATAATAAATATTTAAACAACACAGCTTTTAATAAAATTTAAAATTAGTCTATATATATTGCTATATTTCATCCTTAACAGGACTTCCATAGATGTCAGAAGGTGAACTTTCTGAGTGATTAGTCCACTTATAAGCATTTACGATTTATATGTTTATACTTTTAAATCTGTTTTTATTAATATTTATATTGTAGAAGACTTTTTTAGGAAGTAGTATATAGAGTTCTGCAGAACCACCCTTTCATTTCATGTTTTAAGATGTAGAGGGTGAGATAGATGGCGTTCGAATTATATAATTTGAAAAATCTTTATAAATATAATTATAGTTGAAATAGCACATTCATGAATATTGCTACCTTAATGGCTTTAGTTACAATGCAATCAAAGGGCTATCAACCTAAGTCATTTTAATTGATTTTGCTTGAAACTGAAAATTTAATTATGAACATTTATCATCCATCCAATTGTTGTGTCCAACCATTATTATTATAACTGTTATTGTTAATTTAGTGTATTAACGAACTAGAGACATCTACGCCGTCTCTTATATAAACATATACATCAGCATAAAGGAATCTCAGTCGTGATCCCGATTCGATACACTTAATATAAACAAAGGGGAACAAGCGTAAACATTCCCATCGATACTCCTACCTTTACTCCGAATTCAAGTCCTTATTATAAACACATAATAATCATTACACGTACAATCGTAATCAATCATATTTTTCATATAAACAAATGCATAGTATTTTGTCCCGGTCTTATAATAAACAAAACCACCAAGGCTGAATCCCGTGAGAACGCTTAATCATCAGACCCTACTCTCAATTACAACTTTGTAAGTAGAATAAGTATTTAGAATTAGTCTCAGTAGAATCTTTGAGGACAAGCATAGTCTTAGTAAAACATTTAAAGACTAATAAAGACTCAGTAAAACCATAATATGATGAGCATAGTCTCAGCAAAATCTTGGAAAGAATCCCAAGAGTACCAATCATTATGATAAACTTGTTTAAAACCAATTGAATTATGTAATTCCTACAACTGAGACATCACTGTGTCCAGAATTCCATCCCTGGGACACGACACAATTGTTTAACTATTTTAACTTATCAAACATTAATTAACCAATTTTTAATTCGTTTCAGGCTTGTATATTAAATATTTGAATACATTTGTGAATATGATTGCTATTATATAATATAATGAAAATTTTCTTTAATGTAGATTTTTGTTTCATTTGATGTTGCAAAGTTACATAGTTGTAAAGGAATACAAGTTGACCCACTTGCAGCACATCTCATAAAATGGGACGAGTATTTAATTTATTCAGAGGTGAAGAGGTTCACGAATTATTTATAAACCTTCTCCTATTTTATCACTCAACAGGATTTGATTATCACATAAGAATGATTCAAACTATTTTATTTTCACAATGAGTTAATTGAATAATTGTATATTGAGACAATCAATATATTTTTTTTAAAATTATAAATCTATAATTATTTTGCAAAAATTTCAATTAAACTATTTATATATGTTACGAAATACAAAGGAGAAAAATTGAATTTGTGTAATTCGCTTTAAATATATAATAAAATTAATCATTTATATAATGAAAGTAATAAGTTTAATCAGTTTGTAAACAAAAAAAAAATATTATTATCTGCTGAATTCAATTAAAACTGTTTCATCTAATATTTAGCGATAATAATAATAATAAATTGAGGAATATCATCTGTTGAATATACTTATTTCTTGGAGATAATATTACTAAGAATACTAAATCGATTGGTAATTTAGAAGGATTATCATTATCTTGTATAATATTGCTTAATTAAGGTGGTATTATCCAATCGTATTATCCAACTAATAAGCAATTCAAAGCAAATAGGATGGATACATTTGCAACGTACTGATGATCCCAATACGGCTGCTCTTAAATCGAATCTCCTGGGAATTCTGCGGTTTAGTTCTGAGGTATTACCGAACAGACGGTAATTGCGCGAAACAAAAATCATATGTAACATGGGTAATGGGAATCAAACACGAGCAGCTCGTTAGAGACGGATAGCAATTAAAATTTTAAATCTAAGAATACATTAGAAAACAATGAAATAAAAAATCCTTAAATTTTCAAAACAAAAATACTTCTTATCCGTTTGATTGAATCAATTAAAACTATATTTAATTATAAATTAATTGAGAAAAATAATAAATATTTTCATTTTTTCAATTAAAACAATTTTGTTTGATAATTGAGTTAGATTATTTTTTTTTTAATTATTTTTAATTGTTGTAAACAATGCAATGTGAAGAATTGAACGTTTAGAAAATTAAACGTAGTATTAATAGTATGAAGTAAACAACGTACGTTAACTCGGTTTAAAATTAGCGAAATCAAGGCATTTTCACACATTCCCGCGCCAACGGATCCACTAAGGTCAAGCGTTATGTAAGAAGCTTAGCTTTATCGTAGATGTTCCGTGTTGTTTGTCTGCTACTCTTAATATTTCTTTCCTCTTCTGCTGACGAAATCATATTTTTCTATCTTTTGTGGGGGTAAAGTTACTGTGGTGGGATGATGGATTTCGTGCTATGAATTCCATTGTTATTGATAGTAAATGGGATGTAATGCACGGTTTTGGACGTCCATCCGGGCCCATAAAGATCGTTCCTATTATTATGATTGTTTTGGTATTATGGCACGTAGTTGGGTGGTCGGATGTAAGCCCAATAAAATATTCGCATTATAATCAGGCTGTGGATTATTCCAATA